GTCTTCACAGGCAACATGATGACAATAAATTCATATCTTTCAATAATCACTCTCAACGTGAATGGCCTAAATGCTCCCATAAAACGGCACAGGGTTGCAGACTGGAGAAAAAGACAGGACCCATCCACATGCTGCCTACAAGAGACTCATTCTGAACCTAAAGATACATCCAGACTGAAAGTGAAGGGATGGAGATCCATCTTCCATGCCAGCAGACATCAAAAGAAAGCTGGGGTAGCAATTCATACATCAGACAAATTAGATTTTAAAGTAAAGTCTGTAATTAGAGACACGGACACTATATCATTGTTAAAGGTTCTATTCATCAAGAAAATCTAACAATTGTAAATATCTATGCCCCCAACATGGGAGCAGCCATATACATAAGTCAACAGTTAACCCAAACAAAGAGTCATATTGATAACAATACATTAATTGTAGGAGCCCTCAATACTCCACTCTCAGCAATGGACAGATCATCTAAGCAGAAAATCAACAAGGAAACAAAAGCTTTGAAAGATACACTGGACCACATGGACCTCGTAGATATCTACAGAACATTCCACTCTAAAACAACAGAATACTCATTCTTCTCAAACATACATGGAACTTTCTCCAGAATAGACCACATACAGGGTCACAAATCAGGTCTCAACCAATACAAAAGATTGAGATTATTCCCTCCATATTCTCAGACCACAATGCTTTAAAACTGGAACTCAATCACAAGAAAAAAATTGGAAGAAAATCAAATACTTGGAAGCTAAAGACCACTCTGCTCAAGAATGTTTGGGTCAACCAGGAAATCAAAGAAGAACTTAAGGGCGCCTGGGTGGCTCAGATGGTTAAGGTCTGCCTTCGGCTCAGGTCATGATCCCAGGGTCCTGGGATTGAGTCCCGCATCGGGCTCCCTGCTCCGCGGGGAAGCCTGCTTCTCCCTCTGCTTCTCTCTCTCTCCCTCTGTCTCTCATGAATAAATAAATAAAATCTTTAAAAAAAAATAGATAAGGGTGTTTACAGTGCATCCCTTAAGACTATAAATAGGTTATAGTGTCAAGTAGCTATTAAAAAAATCAGAAGTTAGACATATAAAGGCAAATATACTCAATCAGCTAATCTAGCTTTTAAAATTAAGATATATCGTATTCAAGTGGATTGCTCACCCCAAAAGCTTGTTCTTAAGCACTATTCTCTCTGTCATCCTGGGTGGGGTGAGGAAGGCTTTCCAGAGGAGGCGGAATCTAAATGAACCATGTAAAAACAGGATTCCACCCCCCTCCCCCGCCAGCCCCACTCCCGGCTCCTGCCAACCTGCTTGTAAATGTGTAAATTCTGCTCATAATAAAGGCACAGTGAAGTATTCTAAAATCTTGGCCAAAATTAGAAGGAATCCCATTACCCCTACCCTCCTTGTCCAGTACAACCTGTTTCTATAAGCGCTATAAGTGGCATTATTTGCTAGTATGATAGATGTTTGTAAATGAAGATATGAAAAGTTAAATTCTGGAGAATTTATTTCTAATCTAGAATGTATTTTTAATCCCAAAAGTCTTCTTTCTTTTTTCTTTCTTTGTCTTTCTTTCTTTCTTCTTTCTTTCTTTCTTTCTTTCTTTTTTTCTTTCTTTCTCTTTCTTTCTTTCCTTTCTTTCTTTTTCTTTCTTTCTTTCTTTCTTTCTTTCTTTCTTTCTTTCTTTCTTTCTTTCTTTCTTTCTTCTTTCTTTCTTTCTTTCTTTCTTTCTTTCTTTCTTTCTTCTTTCTTTCTTTCTTTCTTTCTTTCTTTCTTCTTCTTTCTTTTCTGATGGGGTGAGTGTAGGAGCAGAGGAAGAGAGAGAATATTAAACAGGCTCCACGCCCAGCACGGAGTTGGATGTGGGGTTTGATCTTACAACCCTGAGATCATGACCTGAGCCAAAATCAAGAGTTGGATGCTTAACCAACTTAGCCACCCAGGCGCCCTTCAAAAGGCTTCTCTCATTTTTTGTTGATGATATATAGAACATTATTTCTTGAATGTTTTTCTGACTTGGTTATAAAAAATTAGCATTAGGTTATGCTCCAGTAGGTGCCATTTTAGGCCAAAAATTAGTTATCTGGCATCTCACAGACTGGTCATTTTAATGATGAACCTCCCCCCACTTTTTAATGAAATGATTACACTGACTAGGTAAGTGTATATCATATGGCCTTAAAGATCCTTAAAACATCTATCTAGAAAAGCAGTACCTCTTTAGAAAGAGGCCATTTGATATATCATTTCCGTGTATTTCACTCAAATTTTCTCTTCCCAGGTCTTTCTTAATTGGTCTTGTCCACATTGATCCTGGATAATGCTGTTTGAACACAAATTCACATTTTGAGGCATCTTTAGGTTTTAAATTATGGTATTTCTGCAAATCAGCACAGAAACATATTGTAAGGAAACATTTCTAGAAAACTACAAAACATTTTATATTAAATTCAAAATGAATCTTTTCTGAATTTGTTTTACTTGGTACAAAATTTTTAATTGTTTCTGTTTGTATAAACAGCTTTTTAAAAATAAACTGCCATACAAATTCTTTTTCTTTCATTCTGTGTTCATTTTGCCTAGCTCCCAGAATGCCAGTCCCTTTTATTTCCTCTTTTTTTCTTCTTTTCTGTTTTTGGTTACAATATATGTATTTGTGTTTTATCTGCAATTTAGTAAATTCTATTGTACTTTTTTGGGGGAAAACAGAAAAGAAAATTCTAATCAACTCTATCGTTTCATTACTTTTCCTCTTTGCTACCTATTTTGGACATCTCACTCTTTCATTTTCTTTTGTTACTATTTATTACAGAGGAGGTGTCTGCAAGGATAGTTCAAGTAGTCACGGCTGAAGCTGTAGCGGTCCTGAAAGGTGAACAAGAGAAAGAAGCTCAACAGAAAGATCAGCCTGCAGCTCTGCCTTTAGGTAAATGAGAAAGACTTTAGTTCAAGAGCTGTATCCGCTGCACCCTGATCGCAGGACCAAGTCTTCATGGTCAAAGAGAGGCGCTATCTCATACTTCATCCTTACATGGAACATTCATCAAACACCTCTGGTGGGAGACCCTGGCACCTATTTTCACCTGTCTTGACAGGCTCATTTGTAGTATTTGGACAGTCTTCAGGGTGATAAGCTTATAGTTAGAACTTACCCCTAAATTTCTCTTAAATTTTCATTTCCAGACCGCTAGAGATATTCATTACAAAAATAAAGCCAATGCATATTGATATCATGACACCCACTTGTAAAGAAAAAGTGTTAATACTTTAATTAGAAATAAGTATTTCCCTTTGTGGGTTTTGGGGAATGCTGTGTCATTTGTTTGGGTCTCTCTGAACCAGCTACAGAAAACCTATAGTCGGGGGCTTTGTTAGAATCATGAGTGACTTTGTATCCCATATAATGTACTGGCCTTCACTTGGTCTATTTAAGAGCACTGAAATAGCATTTCTCTCTCTCTTCGTAGCAAGTCAGATGCCCTCCAGGGCCAAACTGGTAATATAATTGTGCTTGCTGAAGAAAACATTCCTAGCCAAAGGCTTGCTGCCCCTCCTTTAGATAGATGATAGATGATTGATAGATGATAGTTAGATAGATGATAGATAGATAGATAGATAGATAGATAGATGATAGATAGATAGAAGATAGACAGATAGATGTGGGTGTATATACAGGCAGAGACAAGAAAGGAAACTCTCTTAGGTTCAACATATGTCTATTTTACAGGTATATTCAACTAATCCATAGAAAGGTATGGTTTTTAAAGTCTGAAAAAAGAGTACATATCCAATTTTGTCTCAAAGAGTCTAGTACCCTTAATATTCGATTTTCTGGTCAGTACTCCTTTAAGCAATTTAAACAAATAAAAAAATTAAGCAATAAAAATTCTGTTCTCCCAGGATAATAAATACTCATTATTTGCAGTAAAATGTTCTTTGATTATAAAGGTTTATTTTTCTCTTTAAACAGGGGGAAAATTATCTTATTCAAAACATTAAACTTCAGTTTGTGATTCACTTCTATACCTTAAATAAAAAACACACCCTTTCTTAAATTTGAAGCCTTAAAATATGTTCTATAGAAACCCACAGGGTCAAGGAACTAAGAAGTCACCTGTCATCCCAAAGTTGCTTTTTGAGAGTGAAAAACACATGCTCTGTAAAATAGATTTTCCTGCTGGCCTTGATGATAAATATTTCCTTTTTGCAGTCCCTTACCTTCATATGAGTGGTCAAGAAAAAAGAGTTAACTGTGGATGAATGACATCTTTTAGAACTTTTCTCTTTGGTTCTCATGTATAATGCCAAGGCCAAAAGATTACTCGGCTCCCACTAGTACATATTGTCTGTTTGAAGGTTGCCTTAGGCTGTGACAGCTTCATTTTTCTTTTCTGAGAATACATACAGAAGACTCATTTTGACATTGACTCAGTGGACAAAATGTTGTTTAAAAAATACATCACCTATAATACTGTGAATGATGAAGGTTACGTTTGTTTCCAGACCAAGAAGTTGAACAATATAGAGTTCTGATATTTTTTTTCAGTCAGTCAAGCTAAATCCAAACTACAGTGCTTGCCTGTGTGTTTGAATATAGTAGATTAGGGCCAGAATAAAATAGTTTATTAATTGGACAAGCAGACACAATTAATGGGATTAATGATACCATAGCAGGCATCTTTAATCCATTTTTATAGGGAAGACAAAATGATTTTTTTAAAATATTAAATGCTTTTCTTTCCTTTTAGGTTTCTTAAACTATGTGAATCAGGTAATGGAACAGAAAATAAGTCAAGTGCAGATTACTAGTGAATCTTTTCCTAAATTTCATAGAGAGACCTTTTTACAGATGGCAGACCTGTTACACATCTAATGGCCTAACAGGATTAACTGTATCTCATTTGTCCACTGTTTGATCTTTAGCAGCTGAAGAGACAGCTAATCTGCCTCCTTCTCCACCTCCATCACCAGCCTCAGAACAGACCATTGCAGTGGAAGAAGGTAAGGCCTAGTGGACTTTTTGAGGTTTGTCTTCTGATAAAGGGTAAATTAGCGTCAATCCATAAGCAGTGGACTTCAGTGTGGGTTAGTATGTGACCCAGCTTGAGAGCTGTCTGTTTCAAACAGTCCAGAAGACACAGACTTTACACAAATGTATAGTCATTTATCTATACAAAATCAGAAGTAGGGGGAGTATGATAAATAAAAAAGAAAAAATCTGCTTGATCCAGGAGAAGATAACTTTGTGTTTAAATTGCTAGAATAGCTAGAGAAGCAGTTCACTTAATTAATATAAAATGTTTTGACACAGAAGATACAATCCTACCTTATAAGTGACTGAACAAAAATAAATTTATTGATGAAATCATAAGGAAATGTTGTCGGGAATTGTCTCTGTTTTGCTTATTATTGTGTTGCCAGGGGCTTCCCTAGGGCCTGGCCCATAGCAAACTGTCAATAAATATTAATGAATAAATGAAGAAGTCAGTGTATGACTCTGATATTGAGAGCAGTGAACTAGAAGCTGAGATCATGGCTTCTTCCCTGCGGAGACCTGTTATTGTCCATGAATATATTTATGCACTTAGTCAACATAGAATGCTATGTCAGCTTTTCAGTTCTCGTTAATAAAACAGAGGGATGCCTTTGAAGAATATTCATTCAGAATCTGAGCTGAAAGGCACTATTTAAAAGCAAACTATTACTGGTTTTCTGACTTAAGTCAGTTAACTTTTGCATATTGTTTGAAGTACAGAAGGCAGAGAAGAGCCGTAGCTAAAGTGTTGTTTCAATATAATTTAGTTTCCATATACTAAAATCAGAATTTTACTACTATTCCGTTTTTTTCATTTATTTTTTCATTTTTCCATTTGTTGCCCCTTTTAGCTATTATTTTACTATTAAAAATTGAAAAGCATCACAAAAGACTCACTGTCTTTTTATAATTTGTAGTTTCATTTAAAATAGTCTTTGACTTCCTAAATACAGATGTTCCTAAATTATAGAACTATGAACTCTCAGTAAACATAATTTACTTTTGTCACAGATTTATAAACCTAAACTTCTTTTAGCGAGCTTTTTCTTTCTTAAGTTGAAGCTTTTTTCCTAATTTACTGCCTGAAATAATGTTAGCTGAATTAAATTATTCTAAAGAATAAAAGAAAATTTGGGGACTATAATCAGTGGCAGTTATGATTATTAGTTAATTTCCTGAAAGTGTGATTTGATCTTTTAGTTTACAGATTTGAAAGATTTTTTGCCTTCATCCATTCATTGGCACTTATTTATGAGCACCTACAATGCGCTCTTTAAATTCTAGCTATACACTTGTGAACAAAACAGACATGATCCCTGCTTGTAAGGAATAGACAGTCTGGGGGAGAACAGAAAGCCAGTAAAGAAGCTTACCAATAATTTCAACTTGCATTAGCCCTAGGAAGGAAAAGAACAGAGAACTTGAAGATAGGACAAGGGAAATCTTAATTTTGGGGGTGGTGAGGAGACAGGTAAGGAGCTGAGCTCAGAAGCGTGAGGAAGAGTTGGTCAAGCAAAGATGGAGGGAAAGGGCTTTGGGACAGAAAGACCAGGATGTGCAAGGGGACTCACGTGAGCAAGAACATAGAGTTTTCTAGGAACTGAAGACATCCCATGGCTCCTGAGAAGTGAGAAAGGGGTAGAGTAGTGAAAGGGTTTAAGAGTCAGCAGTATGCACCTTGGTTCGGGAGTCTCATTTTCACCTGGAAAGCAGTGGGAAGCCTTCCGTGACAGCTGTACATCCCTCCGGTCATTGAAAATGTCTCTAAACCCCCACTTCAAGCCTTTCAGAGAATCTTCTTAACCCAAGATGTTCACTGGGTACGGCGTTCCCTCCAGAGTCAGCTGGAGGTCAAGTAACTTACCCTTCTTGCTCTTATATGGGAGTTGGAGCAGAAGGAGCAGTAGGGTCTGCCCATCCACCTGGGAATTCACCCAGTCTGCTTTCTGGCAGGTGGTATCATGGATATAATGAAAATACAAATAAACCATGGTATCATTTTCACATTTTGGTACACCTTCCAGAATAACTGTTTCCTTATGTTGGGGGATTGCTTTCCCCATGTTTGAGTATAGTTGGGGAAAATTTCAACTTACATCCTATTGAAGATGATTGAAGATATTTTATTCTTAACATTTTTCAAACCAAACTTGTATTTTCATTGAATCATTATTTTTCATGTTTTCAGAAGAAAGCATTAAACTATACAAAGGCCTAATGATTTGCTTTTAAAAGGATAACCATTTTTTCACTTATATGAAAAAAGTATGTATTTTATAAACTCTACCTCATCAATTTAAAAGACCAAGTAATATTATTACCTTACATATGTGAAAGACATGAGTCTAGGTAATCACACTAGCCCCTGTCTTATTTTAGCCCACTCTTAAAGCATGTAAAATTTTAAGTTTTATTTATCATAAAATGAATTAAGTGAAAAGTCACAAGACAGGATTCAAACTTTTCAGTTTTTCAAACCAATTGGTTTACAAAGACCTAGGAAAAATTCTATTAATGTATAGCTCATAGCAGTTTGAGTGGGAAAGGAACATGTAGGTTTTTCATCTAGGAGATTTTTTTTACCTACTTCAACACATCCTCAAAGAAACTTTAAAGGCACATGACTGCCAATCCATTTATACAAATGTAAGACAGCTCTTGGATTAAATCGAGTAATTCAATGATTTTGAGGATATGATTACTTTTTATTAATTATCAAACCTTTTAAAAAGCTGTTCTTTCCCAAAGGGGAAGCATGAATGCTTCCACCAAAGATAATTTGAGATGTTAATTACTGTAAATTGTAAATATTCATTTGTTATAGTGATGTAATATTAATAATTCCCAAGTTGTGTGCTTATTCTGGGAAACAAAGAGATTTTGATGGAAAAAATAAGCAAGTAGCACACTTAAAAGGAAACTCAGGTACAACACATCAATCCTGCACTAGGTGTGATATTTGCAAATTAATCTCCTGTTTCTTTTCGGCCTAACCATAATAGTTGTCATTTGGACTGAACTGTTAGGATTTGGAAGCCCGTGTAAGAACAATGGAATCATCTGAAAATAGAACGAGGAAACTTTCTGCCCTCTTAGGTTTGCTCCAGAATCCCAGGGTGATTTTTCCTGAGTCACAGAGATGTCACTAATCTGAAAGCATTTTCCCCTGCATATCCTTCTGGGCAGCAAACACAGTTGGCAAACTAGGTCCCCAGTCAAAACTAGGTCCTGCAGCATGAAAAGGGCTTAGAGAGAGTGGAGAACAATGTAAGCAGAGCCAGTTGCCCCAGACGGTGGGGCAGAAGCTGTGATGCCAAGGCAGGCAAAATCACTGAGTCACCCAGAGACTCCGTCTTTCATAAAAGTGACTGCTCGTTTGTACCAAAGGGGGCTGACAGACCAAGGCTGGGTTTTATGTGGCAGACCTTACTTTAACTCAAAATAAATTTTCAAATGCTTTTTTTAAAAAAATCATATAAAAAATAAGTTAGGGGAAATGTATTCCACCACTGAAATCAGGTAAGCTTCATTTTTAAAGATTATCATTATGCAGCAGAACTATGTAAAAGTCCAAGGTTCATAAGGCAACCCTATCCTTTAAAATATCACATTATTAAATAGAATATTTCATGGTGAAAGCAGAGTCCCCCAAAGCATGTGTACTTACAGTAAAAGGACGACATTCAATCCTGACCTTAAACAACAAAACTAACTTATGAAATGAATTCACTTTTTGCAAATCTCTCAAGTCTAAATTTGACGTCTCCAATGGAGGGAAAGCAGAGGTGCATGACAATTTGTCTGAGTATATTGAAGACAAAGATGCTAACACGCATGGAGTCCAGCATTGTGCTTGGCACTTTCTCAGATCTCTCCTCATTTAATCCTCCCAGCAACCCACAGAGGTAGATAATACTCACTTCCACTTCTTGCCCTTGGATGTCGTGGCCAGTAATCCAGAATTCCAGTCCAAATTTCAGTCCCTGCAATCACAGCCCCACTGTGTCTCTAAAGCCATCTCTTATCTAGGTTCTTAATGTGGGGCCAAGAAAGGGAAATGATCTTCCAATGAGAGTTTTTTTGTTGTTCAAGGTACTAAACCAATTTCCTTTTTTTTTGAAAGCATACCCAAATACAGAATTCATTACTTATAACTGGTATGTATCCCACCTCTGTTGGGATGCCATTCATGATTCTATAGCAAATAGGATCTATTTCTTCTGTCATTATTTTGGAACCAAGCACACTGTTTGGTCTTAGCTAGCTACGGTCCTCTTAGTAGAACTTCCCTAGCACATCTCTGGAACCTGCAGATGGACTTCAGGCTCATAGGTCCCAAGCAGAGACATGGAGCACACACAGCTCATAGTACCAAGACTGGGCTTCACCATACATTCTTTTTGAAGTTGCTTGGCTCAGCGCCATACAAATACTACAAAGAAGCTCCTTTCCACTGCAGCCCTTAAAGTTTTTTTGCTCTTTTTGTTGTCCTCTGTTTAGAGTAAAAGTTTCCAGAATAGAAAATACTGTTTCTTTGAAATGTTACAGATCTGAAGCAAGACTCTGTGCTGTTTTCCCATGTTGGCACTTTCAGAAATGAGCAATGGCAACAAGAAAGAGAAAGTCAAAATCTTCAAAAGGTTCAAACATCCAAGGAGTATTGCCTTTAAACTCCCAGCTTTCAGCTTCAGATTCTTTAGTTTTATACTGCAGTCGGCTCTACTCCCCAGAAGATGTTAACTATGCCATTTTCACGGACTGATCGTCCATGCAATCTGTTGAGCCTATTGGAAGTTTTAGGAGTAACTTGCATACATGCATATGTGTTTAGGGCCTTAAGGAGTCCTGGGGGAAATATGAATGGCTAGGACATGTGACAAGCCCAGGGCTTATGATTCAGCCAGTGATGTAGGCCAGATCTCAGCCAATTATCTGCTCAGCTGAGAAATCGTGCCGAGTTGGAACT